ACAAAATCTTGATACTGAGGCTTCATCCAAGACGTAGCCTTAGCATTGTGGCAATGTCAGCCTCAAGAAGACCTTTACATGTTTATGAGACCCCACTTTGTGTCCTGAGTTTGAAACATTAACACACACATGCGGCTTAAGCATGGTCATTACGGACCTCCACAAACGTGCGACATGCGAGAGACGCATTTCCCGCCTCAGCTGCAATGCCGCCAGCAATGGATCTATTGTTCTCCTGGCTGAAACAGGCACCCTTTGATGACACTTGGGTCGATGATACACCAGCTAAACTCTGCCAGTGGATCTAAACTCCCTCAAGGGATCTGTCCCACTGTGCGAGGACAGTTTGTCCCTCAGAAGCAAAATAAACCCAGTACACTTGGCTGCTGATACAATGGAGTCTGTCTACCAAAGACATCAATAGACTAGTAATGGTGAAGGACAGTGGGGTGCGTGGTAATGCCGATTCACTGGGGATTAGCACAGCAAATGAGGGGGGGAGCTTAGCGGCAGGGTTCGGCAGGGCTGGTTGTTCCTCGTCGCTGTGGTTAGGACAGCACAGGGGTTTCTTGTCATGGCCCACAGCTGCGATTCTCAGGGGAGCTGGCTTAATCATTCGGAAGCAGTACGGGACACGTCAGAGGATGTGGGAGGGGGTTCCAGCGGTCTACGGGGGGCCCGGGGCAGAGCATGGCAAGCGAGGCGGCGTTTTTGTGATGATTTCATGGGTGATAGTCACCTCCCTCCCCCCCGGGCTTGAGAGTAGGCCAGCATGCCTCAGCCACAGTCACCTCAGCACCTGCTCTGGAGCTGCTGGAGGAGAACTGCATTCACTGGCATTCCACACCGGCATTCCACACCAGCATTCCACACCAGCATTCAACACCGGCATTCCACACCGGCATTCCACACAGGACCACGGGCAGCACCAGTACTGCAGATTGACCGGCTTGATTCTCGTTGTAATTAATGACTGATACTCCTGTTCCTGTCTTCAGCATTAGCCCCTCTCCTCTGCCTGCTCATCGTCAGCCTTCATGTGTACAGCACCTGTCTAAGATACTCAGGACACCCATCCACTATGAGACTTATTGAATGAACCTGTCACAACTGTCAAAAAAATCACCCTACTGTCCTCACCTGTACCTGCTCTGTTCTGTCACAACCTGACGCTAATAGCCTCTGAAATGTATTATTAAGTATCTTTAAGTTTATTAATGGAATTATTACAACACTGATAGTGCCAAATGCAGAAATAACAAGTAGATTAGAGGTATCGTGGTCTGTCAGACTGAGGTCTCTAAACGGAAGAAGCTGTCTTTCATGAAAAGTAAATGTCAATGTATAAAAACTGCATTTATTTACAGAAACTACATTATTCTGATTGCACAACCTGCACTGCTTCAGACAATAGAAGTTTACTGGAATATGAGTGCAGATGCTGACTGGGGGCTTTGGCCTGGAACAGTCTGTCTGGTGGTGCAAGGTGAATGATTTGCGACAAGCAGGCGAGAAAAATCCCCGCACTGCTCTGGGTCGTGCCGTGGGCCGGGGGTGGTGCTGGGGGGCTGGTGGTGGGGATAGCTTTGGAGAACTTCGTGGCCGTGTTGAAAGGTCCCAGATGCTCACGACTGTTAGTTTCCTGCTGGAAGCTGTGACCGTTACCTCTATATTTTGATGCTTCCCACCAAATGATGGCCAGAGGCAGCTCAAGGTTAGTGCCAGGGACGCCTGCTGCAGATAGATAATATACCCAGAAGCCCCAGGGAGCGGCAGCATCCCTGCGGCGCTGCAGGAAACCTGCGTCCCGCTGCAGCCGCTCCGCTGTCAGCCTGCGATGGCCTCAGTGCTGAAGATGGCAATTATCACATGAAGGTCACATTCTTTTTAAACTGTCCCTCTGGGTGCGACGCTATGTTAGATTCACCTTTGATTGTTCATAGTGTTAATTCGTTTTTAGAATGCCTCGCATTTCAAATGGAGAAAATAGTATGTTTCCAGCAAAGACTGCAGTCCCCAAGGGTGTCTCAAGTGGTAGATGAATGGACCCTCCTAGCAAAGCATCTGTCATGTAGATAGCAGCGCCCTCAGCTGACAATATACGGTACTGCGACCTCACTCGACACGCTCATCGATCACGTTGTCGGGGGAAAACTGTGGTGTCAGTATGATGAAGCTCTTTTCTGAGAATCTGAGAATTAGATCTGTGGTTCGGATCAGATTTGGGAATCTGATTCAGTAATTATTGCATTCTACAAATAGCTAATCAATTTCCAATGCACATGAAATGCAATATATTTGTTTACATTGGGTATCCTAGGAAATCTTAAAGTGTGGTAATTAAGGCCTTATTATCTCGATGCTCTGATACAGCTAATCCTTTACCCACATTTATATTAATGTTTCACATCTATTTCTAGTCCCCCTATCCATCACTACATGGCCTTACCCAGCATACCCTGGCTCCCCTCTCAAGCAGGTTAAACATTAGATGTTAGTAAAGAAGGTAGAAACCATTTACCTATAAATGGGGGGGATGTACTTGAGTTATGTAATGCAAGATTACATAATGAAAAGCACAGGTTAATCATTATTGTCTTCTTTACAGCAAATAGCAATTCTGTATCCCCTCTTCGCATTGTGCTCTTTCATATGACACACCGAGGACGGCGCACGCTGCTGGTGACCATCTGGTGTCACAGTGGTGGTGTCACAGTGGTGGTGTCAGAGTGGTGGTGTCAGAGTGGTTCTGCTGAAACCTCAGCCTAACGCAGCAAGTTCTGATTCTGGAAAAGAAAGAAAAGAGGTTTATTTCTGGGGTTTGCTGCAGCCAGTCAGCATCCCTCATTTTCACACCATACACTCTGCTTGTCTCATACTTTTTCTTATATACTCTATAACAGTATATCGTGAAAGGTTTGATTTGATTAAAGGATTACAAAGATCGTGGTTGCGACAGTGTGTTGAAAGAACTGATATCGAGTATTATAACTGAATGTGTGGATAGTTTTTGCTGCACGCACGTTTCATGAGCAAAAATAATATACTCAAGTCATGCATGGGACCACAATCCCCAATTTATGAATCACATGCTTATTCTGTTACAAATACTATTTCAAAGGAGCTATTTTCTAAGATTTAATATTGAAAAGCATCCATATTCTAACTGATTGTCTTTGTTGGGGGGCAGGGGCCTGGAGCCTACCCAGGCAGTGTAAGGCACAGGGCTGGCTACACGCAGGGCGGGGGGCCGGTCCGCCACAGAGCACACATCTGCACACACTATTTAGAAATGCCAGTTGGCCTCAATCAGTGGTTCCCCCCCAGTCCTTGGGGACCCTCAGACAGTCCACATTTTTCTTCCCTCCCAACACACCTGTACCAGGTATTCAGTGATCTTGTTTGGCTGGGAGCTGAGAAAGAACAAAAATATCGGCTATCTGAGGGTCCCTGACCTAAATGCGTGTCTTCTGACTGTTGT